TCACCTGCTGCCCTGGAGAGCGCCTTCAGCTCCTACTGCCACCTGAGCGAGGGCGAGCAGGAGGCGCGATTTGCTGCTGGTGGGCACCGTGGGGAACGGCCGGTGGGCATGGTCCCTGCTGTGGCCGAGGGCAGGGGTGGTGGGACGGGTTGTTCCCATCCATCCATCCATCCATTCATCCATCCATCCATCCATGGCACTGGGGACATAGAGGTGCTGGGGCAGGGGGGTTTTGGGGGCACCTGCCTGCATGCATTTGACCTATGCCTGTCCTGTGCCAGGTGTGGCGGAGCAGTTTGCCATTGCTGAGGCCAAGCTGCGAGCCTGGTCCTCGGTGGATGGGGATGACTCCAATGACGAGTCCTATGATGAGGACTTCTTGCCCTCCACAGAGAGCTCCCAGGCCACCGGTAAGTGCCATGGGGAGCAGGCAAGTTGCCCAACTGCCAGTGTAGGTGTCCCACCACTGAGGGTTGAAGGAGCTGCCTGGCACATTCCCCAGCCTGGCCATCGCTACACAGGGCAGTGCCCCTGCCTGGCACCCTGGCAAACAGTGCCCGTGCCAGGGATGGGGAAGCCCTTCAATGTGACACCCTCCCTGGTGCCAGAGCGTGTTTTACTTTTCCTTTGGTGGTTACCAGTGCATGCAGCAATTTGTGGGCAAAGGAGTCATGGGGCTGCTCCCAACCTACTGGGCACGGGGTGGGGAGGGCAGCTGACATCCATGGTGCCCTCAGCTTTGGACTGACCCAGTGTCCTGGTTCCCCACAGAGCTGTCTGGCACGATGCCCGCCAGTGCGCTGCTGCGAGACCTGCTGCAGGGCCACCTGTGCCAGCTGGGCGTGCGGCACAGCTCCTGCGAGCCCGAGAGTGACTCCTCGCACACCCTCTCCCCTGAGACTCTCTGCTCCAGCCTCTGCAGCCTGGAGATGGTGTCCCCCTCTGAACTCACTGCCAAACTGCTGGGCTCCCTGGGGGGCGAGGACCTGCTGCTGCCCAAGCTGCCACCCCCAGCCAGCCAAAGTGCCTTGCGGGGCCTGGCACGGCTCCGGTGCCAGGACTCTCTCTACTCCGTGTCCTACGCCGAAGCCTGCCTCTCGCCCACGGAGGATGAGGTGGTGCTGAGCAAGGACTTCCCTCTGCGCCGGAAAGTCTCTGATGTCGCCTCCTCCGGGGTGGCATCGCTGGAGGAGGAGGAGGCCGAAGAGCCCTGATGCCCCCCAGGGTGCCCTGCCTCTCCTGGTGGGGGTCCAGGCCCCCTGCCAAAGTCCTCTGGCCAGACCCCATGCTGGGCGAGGGACGGGCCCTGCTGCTGCTCCCCCTCGCTATGCAGGCGCAGGAGGGGCTTGGGGGACCACTGCAGCCCCCCCAGCCAGTGTGCCCCCACTGTGCCCTGGCCCTGCTTGGCCACATCGTTGCCCTCCTGGATTTTTGCATGAGAGCAGGGAAGAGGCGCAGGGAAGGGCTCGGGGGGTCCGTCCCCCACCCTGATGCCCAGATGTGCCCCCCAAAACTGACAAGACTAAATAAGTGGGGCTGGCTGTTCGCATGTTCTCCCCTAAACCACCCTGGGCTCTGCTTTTGGGCACAGGCCCCCTTCCCCACCCCGCCATTGGCATGGCTGAAACTCTCTGAGCATCCCGTGGTGCCCCCACCACCCTGATCCAGGGTGGTGGTGGGCATTTGGGGTGGGAGGGGCTTTTCTCCTCTCTCCCTGGCCAGCTTTTATCGGACCGAGTTTTAAACTGTGAACTGCTGCCTCGGTATGTGGGGCTGCCAGAGAGGTACTGTGGGGGTGCTGGGTGTGCTGGGGGGCTGTGGATGTGCCGTGGTGCTGGGACTTTCTATACTTTTGTACATGCATGGAGCTGGCACAGGAAGACTGCAGGACCAGGTGGGCATGGGCCCTCAGGCTGGTGGCTTTGGGTCACCAGGACAGCCCCAAGCCAGCCCTTCAGCAAGGGGCTCAGCCCAACCAGAGCTCCCCAAGTCTACCATGAGGCAATGCCGGGTGGAGAGAGGGGGTAGGCAGTGGGACTGATGTCCCTGTCCCCAGGCCACTCACCACTAGCAGGGAACCAAGTGCCTACATGAAGGGCGACCAGCCCCCCCTGTCCTGGCTGGGGGTGGCACCCCCACCTCGGGGGCCCCCCCAAGCCCATGCCAGGGGTTCCAGGCACGTGGTTTGGGGGAGGAATGCCAGTTTTTGCCAACGCTTGCACGCCCCTTCCCGCATGGCACGTGTTCTTGTGGGGCCACTCTCTCCCTGCATGCTGCTCCTTACCCAGCCCAGCCGTGGTCCCCTGGCCTCTCATCCCAGGGTGCCCCAAGCACCTGCTGCGCCCCTGCTCCCATGCACCCCCAGCACCCCCACAAGCCTTTGCTGGGCACAGCCCCTGTTGTCCCTCCCTGCCTTGGGGTGCCCATTGTGGGGCTGCCCCCCAACCCCGCCCCTTCATCGCCAAACTGTGAGGGGCTGCAGGGGCTGGCAGGCCTGACGCCACGCCAATGGACTCCCTGCCACCCACTGCCACTCCCTCCCGGGGGCAGCGGATGCTCCCCAGGGTACAGGGATAGGATGGGACGGGGGGTCTGGGGTGCCTGCAGATGGGTGAGGGGCTTTGCTCTGTGTGTGTGTGCATGTGCACACCTGGGAGCGCATGGGCATGTGCACGCATGTGCATATCTGTGGGGCTGCCTGAGCCCCCCACCCCGCTGCGGCGGTACCTGTGGGGTGTCCACACCGTGGCACCCCCTCCTCTATCCTGCCAGGTCTTGAATAAAGTCAATTGTGCGAGCGCTGCGCCGGGAGCCTCTTCTTGCAGGTGGGGAGCACCTCCTCCCCGCGGGGCCAGAGGGGTGGCAGGCCAGTGGTGGCAGCGATGTATCCCCCTCCGCGGCCCCACAGGGTGACGGAGGCATCAGGCATTGTTCCTTATCTCACATTCCTAGGGAGAGGGTGCCTAATTATGGGCATCTGCAGTGGTGTCTGGCGTGCGGCTGGACCCTCCCCACGGCAGGGCTCTGGGGGGCGCGGGCAGCAGGCGCCATGGCATCGCTCAGCTCAGCCTCGGCGTACCGTGCCGAGCTCATCAGTGCCTATGGGCAGGGCCATGGCGAATCCCGCTTCGAGGGCGACCGGCGGCACGGACCCTTTGGGGCACGGGCACATGAGGTGTTTGGGTATCCAGGTACTGGGGATGGGGAATGGGGGGCTCCGCTACCCTGGGGAGGGTTCCCTCCAAGGGTTACCCAGCTGCTCTGTGCCTGGGCACAGCGTGGGACTGTGCCCCCAGCACGGCCTGGGGAGGCTGGAAGGTAAACCCTAACTTCCACCCAGGTGCCCCGTGGCTCTCTGGAGTGTTCTCCAGCCTCATCCCCCCCCAGGTGCTTTTATGCTCTCCCTGTAAGTCCCCAGTGCCTCCAGTGTCCCAGCTGTCCCCAGGACCACTATGCTCCCTGCTACCCTCTCCCCAGACACTTCTGAGCTTCCCAGTGTCCCCAGAACCCCTCATAGCTTTTTCCAGTCCACCCCAACCATCCCACCTGCCCTTGGATGTCCTCAGCTCCCCTGTGCCCCAGACCCTTTGATGTTCCCTGTTAACCAACTCCCCCGTTTCTTGTACAGCCCCAGCAACTCCAGTGCCCTCCTCCACCCCAGCCCGCTGCCTCCAGACTTTCCTGGTCATCCCCAGTGTTTTCAGCTTGTGTTATTTTCCTGCTGTCTGCACATTGTCCAGTGACCCCAGACCCTACCAGTACCCTCATCCAGACCCCCCATTTCCTTATTCGACCCCCAGACCACCACAGCAGACCACCCAGTATCCCCCTACCCCGGGACACCCAGTTCCCCCTGGAACCACCTCAGCACCTTCAATGAGTGTCCCCAAACTCCCACTGTTGCCTGCTACTCCCAGCCCTCCCTCTCCCAGTGTCACCAGACTCCCACAGCCCCCAATCCCTGGGCACTGTGCCCCCGTGCCCATTAGCCCTGCAATGCCCGCAGAGTCCCCAGGCACCATGTACCCCTGCAGCCTGGGCACCTGGGTGCGTGCCCAGGGTGACACCTATCAAGTGGTGGCCGACGTCAGCCAGTTTGAGCCCCCTGACATTGTGGTGACCACTTCCAACTGCCATGTCTCCATCCAGGCAGAAAAGGTGAGGCACCCCGAGGGGGCAGCATCCCCCCTTGGCCATGGCACAGTGGGGGTCCTGCCCCACGACACCCCTCTCCTGAGGTTGGGGGGATGGGGTGGTAAATTGGGAATGGTCCCTACTGGCACTGGGGTAAATGGGAGCTGTGCCCTAGCGATGGGACAACAGGTAGCTCCTGCTCTGCTGCTCCTCTCCTGTATTGGGTAACTGGGAACTGTCCTCACCGAGAATGGGGCAACTGGGAACTCCTGCTCTGTTGCATTCTCTGCTGGAGGTGGGCAATTGGGAACAGTCACTGCTGACACTGGAGCAGGTGGAAATCACCTCACAAGACCTGGGCAAGTGGTACCTGCTCCCTGTTGGCAATGGGGTAATTGGGAATTGTCCTTGAGTCACTGGGAACTGCCCTGTTGAGCTCTCTGCTGGAGCCAGAGTGACTGGGAGTTGCCCAATTAGTAGCACCAGGTTTAATTGGGGACCACCGTGCACCACCGTGCCACGCTGTAGTCCACTGCACTGGCACTGCCTCCCCACAGGTGGCTGAGGATGGCACTGTCTGCGATACCTTCACCCACAAGTGCCAGCTGCCAGAGGACACGGACCCGCTGTCGGTGAGCTGCACCCTCACCGAAGCCGGCACGCTGGTCATCACCGCCCGGCGCCGCGCCGGTACCCGCCCCGGCCAGCCCCCTCCGATGCTGTACCGCAGTGAGGCCACGCTGTGAGCGGCACTGGGTGACGAAAGGCTCCTCGCCCCAAATGATGCCAACCCCGGCGCTGTGGCGAGGCTCAGCTGGTGCTCACCGGCTGTGCCCCTCCCCGCCCCCAGCCCCTCAGTGCTCCGGTTGTGTTTATAAAGTCCTTTTATTAAATTAATATAAAAATCTCTGTATTTACAGGGGGAGGGGTGCCCAGCAGAGAGGTGGCAGGACCCCCCAGTTCCCAGCTAGGAGGTGCTGAGAACAGGGGGCAGTGCCCACCCATGTCCCTGTGGGCATCCCAACCTGATGTCCCTCTGCCCCCTGGGCCACCCCAAGCAGGGACACTGTGGTGTCCATGGAGGGGAGTAAGGGCAGTGGCCCTTCTGGGGGGCACCAGGGACTTGGGGGAGTGCAGAGGTAGCAAAGTGGGAAGCCCCAAGAGCTGGCAGATAGTTGGGGAGCAGGGGCAGGCTGGGGGGCACCCATCCTATTCCCAGCACAGGGAGGGGGCAGCAGCACTGGATTGAGGGTGCTCGCTCCTGTGCTGAGCCTGGCGTGAGTGGGCACAAGGCAGGCATTCCCTGGCACCTGCCAGGGGCCCCTGCGGCTTCTGGGGACACAGGTGGGACCTCAAGGGACTCACTGGCCCTTGGGAGTGTCATCATCGTCGTCGCCCCCGGGACTGGCCTCGCGGGGCATGGGGTGGTGCTGGTGGCGGTCCCAGAGCTGCCGCAGGGCCGTGGTGTCGGCATCGCTGGTGCTGGCGGTGCTGTCGCGGAAGCTGGCGAGCGGCGGGCGCACCTTCACCCCCTTGCCCGTCAGTGAGCCCTCAATGGCCTTGCGCAGCTGTGGGCACCCCAAAACCATGGGCAAACAGGTCCAGGTGCTGCTCCATGCCCTTCCAAGTCTGCTGCCCCCCCGCTCACCTCCTTGAGGGACACCATGCCCACCAGGCGCCCGATGCTGGTGACGAAGGCGTGATCCAGGCCCAGCAGTGAGAAGATGGTGTGGGTCTGCAGGAGGAGTGGGGGCTGAGTTGATGGTCTGAGGGGGGTGCGGGTGGGGATCTGGGGTGGGGTGTGGGTGCACCTTGTGCAGTGAGGTGTGCTCCACCAGCTGGAAGGGTGCGGGGTCGATCTTGGCACTGCTGAAGTCCACCAGCTGGTCCAGCTGCTGCTCCTCCCACTCCAGGATCTGGGGAGGTTGTGCCATTGGGCGGGATTAGGGACATGGCCTCCCCCCAGGAGCCAGCAAAGGCCCCCCCAGTCCTCCCTACACCCAGTGTTATGGAGAAATCTGTGTCATCCACCCCTCACCCCCCCTGCCCACCTCACGCCTTGGCACCCCGTTGGGAACTCTGGGGTCCCTGAGGGCAGGTAGGGTCCTACCTGCCCCTGCCCACCCCCTCACCTCTGCCGGGGTCATCTTGTCACCCAGGATCATCTCCTCCTGCAAGAGAGGTGTGTTGGAGCCAGAGGGTAGCAGGCAGCGTGCCCGCACACTGGCTGCAGGCAGGGTATGGGCAGGACACAGGCAGCACATGCAGGCAGGGCACAGGCAGCACATGCAGGCAGGGTGCAGGCAGCACAGGGGCACGTTGTGGGCAGAGCAGGTCAGGTAATATGATTGGTTGACAGGACATCGGTCACACCCTGATTGGCCAAGGTTGGACAAGCCAAGCTTGTGATTGATTGGTGGAGAAAATGAAAGGGGTGCCATGATTGGCTGAGCAAAGTGGGGCAGAACCCATGGCCATGACTGGCTGAGAGGCTCCATGTTCTGACTGGCCAGGAAGGTTTGGGACTGGTAATTTGCACACCGTGATTGGCTGAACAGAATCGTAACTGTGTGGAATTGGCTGCACAGACACAGGCCTGATATGATTGGACAGGCAGAATCTTGGTAGGTCCCTGATTGGTTCAGAGAACCCATGGTAGGCTCCGATTGGCTGAGAGGAGCTGTGCCCAGGCTGTGATTGGCTGCAGCTTACCACAATGGAAATGCGGACGCGTTTGGCCTTGTGATAGGCTGTGCCCTGGGCCTGGCACCGCAGGAGAGACGATGGAGTTAGGACAGGGCATTGAGTGGGGTGGGATGGGATGGGATGGGATGGAGTGGGATGCAATGAGTTGGGATGGGATGGGATGGGATGGGATGGGATGGGATGGGATGGGATGGGATGGGATGGGATGGGATGGGGAGAAATGGGATTAGAAGGGATGAGCAGGCATTGGCAGGGAAGGGATGTGACAGGCAGGGATGGGTGGGGAGAGGCAGGGATAGGCAGAGATGGGCAGGGAATGGAAGGGGCCAGGAAGGGATGGGGAATGATGGAAAGGATTGGGAAGGGACAGGCAGTGTTGTACAGGATTGGAAAGGGATGAGACAAGAATAGGGCTGGGAAAGTCTGGGCAGGGCTGGGATGGGCCAGGCAGGGATGGGCAGGGCCAGGAAAGGCTGGGCAGGGCTGAGCAGGGCTGAGGAGGGCCAGGTAGGGCCAGGCAGGGATGGGGAGGGCTGGGCAGGGCTGGACAGGACCAGGCTCTCACCTCAGTGGGTTCTGCAGCGGAGTTGGCACAGAAGAGGCTCTTGAGGGCGATGCCAGTGTGGTCGGTGGCGCCAGCTGTGGGCGGGGAGGGGGTGTCATTGGGGGACACGGGGGGCTGGGGTGTGCTGCATGCAGACTCACCAGGGGGGCTGTCAGCAGGGCTGCTGGGCACCCGCTTCAGCGCTGGCTTCAGGGGCTTGCGGAGGGCAGGGCGGGCAGGGGTGCCCGAGGAGGCCTCTGTGCTGATCTGTAAAGGGAAGGGGGTGATGGGGAGACAGCAGTGGGGGGCACCCTGACCGGGCATCTGCCACGGCAGCTGTGCTCCTCACCTGGAAGCGGATGCTGGAATCGGAGAGCCGGTGCCCATCCTCGGACAGCACCTTCTGCCGCAAGGTCAGGACACGGCGCTGGGGGCTGAGCTGGTTGCTGAGCAGGGCCCCCACCTGTGCCCGCTCAATGGAGCCCAGCAGGATCATGGACTCTGCCAGAGGAAGCAAGGGGCAGCATTGACTCATGATGTCCCCTTTGCCACGCACCCACCATCCCAGCACGCCCCATGGCTGGGGTGGGCACCGGCAGAGCCCCTGTCTGTGTCTCACCGGCTGACTCCACGAGCGGCAGGTTCTTCATCTTGGTGCTGCACAGGACCTGCTGCAGGTCCCGGTACTTGCAGTTGAGGGTGACGTAGCGGATGTCCCGCACCATGATGTCCTCCACCCGCACGTTGTATTTCCTGCCCACGGAGGGTAACGGTGGTCTCAGAGTGGTGCTACCCCCTCCCCTTGTGCTTGGTGAGGGGCTTGGGGATGGGACATGGGACACACACTCACTCATGGTGGCCCCAGCCCAGCTCAGGGAGGTAGGGCAGCTTCTTGATGCGAATGATGCTGTCGTAGAGGGAGGGCTGGAGGCTCTGGGCCACGGCGTTGGCCAGGATGACAGCGATCATGACAGGCAGGATGTGTGAGATCTGGCCTGTCAGCTCGAAGACGATGACGGCCGTGGACACCGTGTGGGTGACAGCACCCGACAGCGCGGCTGCCCCTGCCGCCACCCCCGGGAGACACAGGGGTGGCTGTCAGGTGTTGCCCACCAGGCTGGGTCCCCACCCTGGTTTCCCCCCTCTAGGGCATCCACCACACCTGGAGCCCTTGGGACCTCCCAGGGACATCCCCAGTGGTGGTGTCACTCTCAGTTCCTGGGGTCAGTACCTCAGCCCTGGGGAACCCACCGGCTCCTTCAGAGCACTTCCAGGTGATGCCCACCATGGTCTCCCCGTTCCAGCCCTGTGCTTACCCACCACAGCGTAGCCCCCTGGCACGATGCGGTAGGTGTTGCTGTCCGTGTGGATGCCATCAGGGAACCAGGCTGCCATGCTCTCCCCCACCAGGCGCCCAAAGGCTGCCCCTGCTCGCAGAGAAGGGCTGGGATAAGGCACAGGGTTCTCCTGGCACTCGACCCAGCCTCATGTCCTCTTCTCTGCCTGGTGCTACCAGGGGAGGGAACACCTGAGGACTCCTGAGGTGCCCAGTATGGGCTGGCAGTGGCTCCCTCCTCCCGCCATGCCCACACAGGGTACAGGGTCTCACCAATGACGAAGACAGGCATGAAGGCTCCACAGGGCACTGGGATGGTGGTGGCCAGGGCTGACATCCAGAACTGTGGGGGGGATGCAGATAGCCGTTAGTTGTCCTCCCTGACCCAGCCCTGCCTCCTGTCCCTGCCGTGACCTGCAGCTGGCTGCTGTGGAGCAGCACGTGGGCACCACACCCTGCCACGGGCATGGGCTCCTCCCAGGGGCATCCTGCCAGCTCCTACCTGGTGGCACCTTGGAGCAACCAGCTAGCACCTCCCTGGTGGCACCTTGGTGGCTCCCAGCCAAGATGTCTTTGATGGTGTGTCAACAGCACCCAGCCAACACCTTGGTGGCCTCTGGGAGCAGTCACCCAGTACCTTCCGGTGCCACCTTGCTGGCAACCACCCAGCACCTCCCTGGTGGCATCCAGGAGCTCCTCTCCATAAATTCCTGGTGTTACCTTGGGGCTGACTGGGGTAGGAGGCACCCACCTTCATGAGGATGAAAACAACAAGGGTGACGAAGACGTTGGAGCGGGGATGGTGCCAGGCCTCCAGGATGCCCAAATATTCGAACTCATCACTGAGCCCCTGCTTGGCCCACGTCTGGTTGTCAAAGAGTGTCACCAGGGTGTCCTTCTGGGTGAGCTGGTGATGGGCAGGGGTCAGCTAGGGCTGCTGGTGGCCCTGAGGTGGGGACCAGTGTGTCATCCCACATTGGATACCTTGCCAGCCATGAACTGTCCGAAGCCGGGTGGGAAGGTCAGCGTGGAGATGATCAGCGTCACCAGAGCAGGGAAGAGCAGGCGCCTGGCAGGGTGGCACAGGGCAAGGAGTGACTTTGGTGCAGCCTCAGCTGCACCACCCCACTGCTGGGGACCACTGGTCACCTACTTCTTCATGAGGAAGCGGTTGATGGTCTTCTGACGGCGCATGAACTGCACGATCTTGCGGTTGAGGTAGACGAAGAGCGCGCCCCCGAAGCCGCTGGCGATCCTGGGCAGAGCCAAGGGGTGAGTGCCCACGTGTCCTGCTGCCACCACCAGCACCACCAGCACTGCCACTGCCACCCCCAGGGCCATGGGATGAGCGCTGGGATGGCCCCACTCACCCGATGACAGCGAAGGCAGGCAGCTCCTGCAGGTCGAAGGGGAAGTCGAGGCGGAAGCGGGTTTTGAACAGGGCCGTGATTGTCTCTGGGGGATGGTGGGGATCAGCAGGGCTGGGCAAGGGACCCCTGTGCCCCCACCCTGCCAGAGGTACCTTCATCCTTGTTCCAGACGGCAAGGACACGGAAGATGAAGGCACTGAACGTGGCGGCGAAGAAGCCGCGCCAGTAGTTGCGGACAGCGAAGAATGTGGAGGTGACCTCAATGCTGAAGAGGACGCCTGGCATTGGGGGGAAGTGCACAAGGGAGGTGGCTAAACCCAGACAGGCCCCCAGTGCCTGGCATGCTTCTCACCCCGAGCCCATGCTTGTGCACAGCCCGTGGCAGTCTGGCTGGCCCCACAGACACACCACGGGGCAGTTCAAGAGCTTCCCTGGCAAAGCACACGGCCAGTCCCAGCTGGACATGGCACAGCGTCAGTCTGCATGAGTGAGAGGGTAGCACAGGGGTGTGGGCAGCGACATGAAGGGTGGCGCTGGGTGGGGTGCACACAGATGGACAGACAGACAGATGGGACAGTGCAGCAGGCAAAGGGCAAGGAAAGAGTTAGACACATCACGAACCTACAGGCAGGGCTCAGTGGGGCTGGAGTGGGGAGCTCCCTGGAGTGCAGGGCAGTAGAGGAGAGGACAAGAGCAGATGTTACACCTCTGGGAGGATGGTGCTCACTCCTCCCATCCTCCTCCCCCCTGCACAGCACTGTCCTCCCCCACGCCAGCTGTCCTGGGGGTCCTACTTGCCTCGCCGTGGTGCCCATGTGGAAGGTGAGGGGAGTGTGGGGGCACCAGGGTGACCCTACCTCCAATGGGGGCTGCGAAACAGCAGCCGACACCGACGGCACAGGCGGCTGCCAGCATTTCGATGTTCCTTGCCTCATTCTGCAGGGGAGACAGGGGTGAGTGGGCACTGCCCACGCACCTCTTGCACTGCCAAACCTCCTGGGGGACACAGGTTAAGCTCTCCTGGGGTCAGCCTGCCTTGCTCACCTCATAGAAGCCTCCGAAGAGGGAGAGGAAGCGGCTGAGCAGGGCTGCACACATGCTGGCGATGTGGACGAAGGGACCCTGTGAGGACAAGAGAGGGAATGAGGACAGTGCCCTCCCCCCACTCCTGGCCACCTGCCCACCCTGCCCCAGGCACTGCCCTCACCTCCTTGCCCAGAGGCATGCCACTGCCCAGGGCACATGTCAGCCCGATCACCTTGGCCACAAAGGTCTTGAGGGTGAGGTACTCCTTCAGCACAACGCCCCGCAGGATGGTCTTCATCTCGGGGATGCCTGAGCCTGGCACCATGGAGACAGCCTTGACCCACAGCCATAAAGTGGGGGACACTGGGGAGACTCTGTCCCACATTTGTGGGGGGTAATCCTTGATGCTCTGCCACACCCCACTGCCACAGGGAGACCCCAGAGACACCTCTCTCCACAGTACATTTGGCAGGAGCAGCCCCATTACAGTGTAGGGACAGCTCAATCCATAGTGCTATGTGGACCCCAGTCTCATAGCCCCCAGGATACACCCTGAAGATCAGATCTTAGCCCTAGGAAGATGCCCAAGACTGTTTGCCTCATAGCCCAGGAGGAAACCTATCCCTTAACTCACAGGAGACTCTCTGAAGATGACCTCATATGCCTTGGAAGACCCCAGCTCCATAGCTTAGGATGACAACCAAATCATAGCCCCCAAGGAGACACTCTGAAGACCAGCCCATAGCCCTAGAAAGACCCCCAGGACCCCCAGGAGGACCCCCAGTCAGCTCCCTGTGCACAGCCCCAGGGAGTAGACACCCTGTTAGGGTGCAGGCAGCCCCCAGTGCCCTACCCACGGCCTGGGGGGCGAGGATCTGGGTGAAGCCAGCTGAGAAAGTGATGAGCACGGTAGGGTAGGTGACCCAGGCCATGTACTGCAGCAGCACGTTGGTGTCCAGGCCCCCGTACATCCACTTCTGAGCTGTGGGAACAACCGGCCAGGTGGGGGTCATGGGTGGCACGGGACATGGCATGGCCCCACGGCATGGCCACCCCCTGCCCTGCCATGGCCCCAGGAACCCACTGGTGCCCGCTTACCTTGGAGGCAGGTGGCAATGGCAAAGTCCATGGCCCAGCTGACCAGTGCCATGACCAGCCCCAGCAGGATGAGGAAGACCCAGTCCTCGCCCACCTTGGAGATGAGGAACCGTTGGCACTGCAAGGCACAGACTGCGGACACAAAGGCAGGCTCAGGGCCGGGTGCCTCAGGGGTGGGCACACCAGGGTGGTGGGGCCAGGCTGGCAGCGACAGAAATGCTCACAGCCGGCAGCACCGCCGCAGTGCCGCTGGTACCGTCTGGTGCAGGAGCACCCCTGTGCCCGGCTATCACAGTCAGCTGGCTGTGCACAACAACTCACAGCTCCACTGGGCACACATCTCCCTCCAGCACGGCCCCCCTGGCACGGCCCCAGGCAGAGGGGCTGGGGGCCCCCAGTCCCTGCGGCGTTCCTGGCTATTTTAGGCCATTGTGTCCCCACTGCCCGGCGGGCAGGTGGCATTGTCCTCGGCGCCGGTGTCCCATGACAGCCAGAGAAACTCTACCCGCCACCACCGTGGAGGGGTGGGCAGCTGTGTCCAGACTGCGCTGCTGTGGGGCTGTGCCCACCTGTGCCCACCTGCTGTGTGCCTTATCCCAGTGACCCTTACCACGACAAGGGGCACAGCGGCCCTGGGTGTACTCCAGCAGCTCGGAGGGGCGGCGGGGCCGGGGGGTGTCCCCCTCCTGCAGCCGCAGCCGGGCTGCCTCATCCTTGGCAAAGGTGCCCAGGTCCTGAGTGTAACGTCCATACATCTGGGAGAGAAGGAGTAGACAGGGGCGTCATGGGGGGCTGGCACTCCAGCTCCTGCACCCAAGTGGGGGAACTGAGTCAAGGGAGCAGTGGGCACACTGGCATGGCCTCCCAGCACTGGAGGTGCCAGGCGAGGAAACAGGTAGCCATGGCACCCCCAGGCAAAAGGGTGGTGGTGCCTGTGGGAGTGCCCGGCTGCCCGGCAGGGCGTGGGAAGGAGCCAGGCAGATAAGGTGTGTGTGGATCGATGGCAAGTGTTTTCCCCATGTGCCCAAAGCAAGCAGTTGAAATGTTGGTACCAGTCCCCGGCCCTGCCCAGGTGCCCCAGGCACCAGGCTGGGCTGATGAAGGGTGGAGAAGGGCCTCCAGTGATGGGAGCATAGCCAGCTTGGCCAGGAGACTCTCTGAGGGCTGATACTGGGGTTGTGCTGGCGCCCTGCAGGCACCACACCCCAACATTGCTAAGAGAGGGCTGAGATACCCCCCTGGAGACAGCCTCAGCAGGTCACATGTGGCATGAGCTGGCTGGTCTCAGCTGGTAGCAAGGAGGCAGGAGGACAGTGGGAGAGAGGGTGTATGCCCAGTTCCAGGAAAGAGGAAGGCACAGCATCAGGCCCAGAGCAGTCCCTGGGCTGTGAGGAGTGAATTTAGGGAGAAAGGGGGTCCGAGTGGCTCTGTGCCCACATAGGGGTCACCTTCCCCACTCCTCGGGTGCTTCCTGCCTGGCTGTGGCACGTGGCCTGGTCCTGGCAGGGGGGGTGGCCCTGGCAGTGCCCCCTGTGCAGGCCAGGAGCTTTTTGTGCCCATCCTCCCCGCTGAGCCGGGGGCATTTGTCCCGCACTGGCGGGCACTGCCAAGGACTCGGTTGCTTGGTTTCCGCCTCACTCCCCCCGGCAAGACCTGAATGCCAAGTGCCAGAGGTTGGCCCGGCACAAAGGGAGGCTTCAGGGCTGCGGGGGCCCTGCCAGGCTCCCACGTCGGGACAACGTGAGCCCCATGCTGATGGCGTGCCCACCCGCCGTGCTGTGCCAGCACAGCGCGTGGCTGCCCAGCCAGGGCGCAGCCGCCCTCCTTCCCGGCACGGCCCGTGCCGGCGCCCGGCAGAGGGGCAACGCCACGGGTGGGCACTGTGTTTGGCACGTGGGCAGCCCAGCCCCAGCTGATGGTGGCAGTGCCCGCCCCGGATGCCTGGGTCCCGTTTACAGCCTCTTGGCCTGCTGGCACGTGCCAGCTCCCTGTGGGGACAGCGCGAAGATGCACTTCTCACGGGGCATTGCTCCTGCCCAGGTCCCTTGGGTAGGGAGCAGAAAGCAGCCAGAGCGGCGCCAGGCGGATTCTCTGCTGTCTAATACCCAGGTTGTGCTCAGCAGTGGGAGGGAGGGTAGGGATATCAGTGGGGAGAGGAGGGTACATTCATTTCCATTGCTGACCCTCTCCTGGCATGGGTTTTCCCCCAAAATCCTGCTCAGCATGGGCTCAATGGCTCCTTGCCCTGTGGAAAAGTGCTGGGAGGAAAGCACGGCCACCTGGAGGGGTCAAATCCAGCACTGACTGCCAGAGGAGGACCCTGGCCCTGCATGGGGTCTTGCTTTCAAAGGCTCCCCTTGGGTGAAGCTTGTTTGCTCTGGAAGATGAAATGGGCCAGCACTCCAGGAGTGCTGTCCCCCTGCCAAGCCCCCGCCTTCCCCAGCCCCACTGCTGACCCACAGCCAGCCCCAGCCGAGATGGGAGCACCCCCAGGTTTAGTGCCCCCAAACTGGCTCTGTGCCCACCTCCTGTGAGTGTGCCAGGGGTTGCTATGCTGCCCCCCAGGTGTTGGGGCATGTGGTGGGATGCCCAGTCCTGGGCAGTCCAACCTGGTTGATGGCAGTGGGATTTGCTCCCCCGTCTGCCCCAGTTCGCAGCCAACTCCACTTGCTACAACAGGGATGCAAACAAAGGGGCTCTGCCACCCTGTTGCCACCTGCCACCCCCTACCACCCCTCTGCCACCCCTCTGCCCTGTGCCATGCCCCCCAGGCAGGACATGGGACCCCCAGGAGTGCCTGGAGCTGAGCAGCCACCGCTGCTGTGCCCACAGCCCCGGCATGGCCAGGGAGGCCCTTGGTGGGCTCTCTCCTTCTTCCTCCTCCTCCTCCTCCGCTCGGGTTATTTTTCCACAAAGGCCTTTTGAAACACAAACAGCCCCGGGACTCCGGCCTCCGCCGTGAAGCAGCTGAACAATCACAGTGCCGGGCGGGCAGGGAGCGGGCACAGGGGGGGCTGGCGGGGGGCACTCGGGGACACGGGCACGGGCCAAGGGCGCTATGTCAGTCCCGGGCTCCTGTGCTCTGAGCACTGGCTATGCCACAGCCCCCTGGGCACTGCCAGCCTGTGGCGCCCACTGTGCCTGGGTGATGCTGTGCCTGGGGCAGGCACTGGCATCTGGTGCTGCCATGTCCCCGTGCCATCCTGTCCCATAGCACTGAGCTTGCCTGGCAGCAGTGCCCACCTCCACATGGCTGATGCCAGCCAACCTTCTCACCCAAATTTCCTGTAGGGGGACATATTTAAAGGTAAGGGGGGTGGGGGGCTCCTCTGGGCTGGCAGTGGGCAGGCAGAGGCTGGGGAGTGTGTGTCACGCTGCCCGTCTTAGCCGAGCTCTAATCACCCTGAGTAGCTCCACAAGGAACAAGGGCAGTTTGTCAAGCTTAATCCCCCCACTCCAGGGGCCCTTTGCTTCCAGCCTGGCATGTGGGGGTACTGGGGCCGACGTGCACTCCAACACCCTTGGCATGCCAGGGGTTCCCACAGGCACCTGCCCAGCGTGGGTACCCCAAGGAGGGATGCCATGGCCTGGGGAGACCTTTAGGTCTGGGCCCCAAGGCCATGGCCATAGCAGACCAGGGCTGATGAAATCTGGTGGGGATAAGGACATGGGATGGGGATGGGGCTCTTTGGGCACAGCTGTGCACAACTCTGCAGCCTGGCTGTAATGGCTTGGCTGTGGGCACGGGCAACAAGGGCTGTCCCCAGGGCTGTCTGGTTCAGACCAGCCCATGCCAGGCTCCAGCTGGATTCTAACCCTTCTGGCAGGTGCTGGCAGAAGCTAGTTGTGGCACAGATGCACTGGGCAGGGCTGGGCACCCGTCCTGCCCAGCATGTGCCTGGGCAGCTCCCAAAATCCAGGTGTGAGGCTATGGGGCAGGAGTCCACACCCAGCCTCACCCACGTGCCCCAGGCAGTTTCATGAACCTCACTGAGCCCAGAGGCAGTGGGGATGGGCACTCTGGGGCACTCTGGGCACGGGTGCTATCCTGCCTGAAGAAAAGAAGGGCAAAGTCTGCTGGTACCGTGCATGACTGTCCTGATGCCAGCCCAGCGTGCCTCTCCCCTCACGCACTGCCCGCAGGCTCCTCCGCCCCGTGGTTCCCTGCTGGGCTGGCCTCTCTGCTCACCCACCGTGACCAGGGCGCCGAGGGGGGCAGTCCAGGGCTGGCAGTGGGCAGAGGCACTCCCACAGCTCAACCCTGCACACCCCTGCTCCTTCCCCCGACTGCTCCCTGGCCCAGCCTTGCCGGGAAGGACCGCAAAGCCAATAAGGTGGTGGAGATGCTGGCACAGCTGGGTCTCCCACTGTGGACTGGTGTCCCACAGCCACCTGACAGCAGTGGGGAAGGGGCAGTTTGGGTTGGGCACTGAAAGGCACCACCAGACAAGGGGTTGGGGTGCTTGGAAAGGCAATGCAGAGGGTGCACAGCGCAGCAGTGCCCTGATGCTGCCCCGTGTTCCCATGCCAGGTGGGCAAGGCTCAGCAGGACCAGCCCTGCTCATAGCAACTGGCTCAGGCTCTCAGTCCACTTGGGCAGCTGTGGGCATGGGAACTCTGTGGCCACTCAATCTGCTTCCCTGTCCACCTTCCTGTTGCTGCCTCTCCGAATGCTTTTGCCAGGGCAAAGTACCCTCTGCCTTGGGCACCATCCCAAGCAGAGGCCAGAGAAAAGTACCTTTACCCGTGATGTCTGTGGACAGTGGAGGGCCTGGGGGCACAGTGGGGAAAGAGGGCACCTCAGGACAACAGGGCATCCTGGTGCCAGTGGGGAGGCCCCGGAGGAAAAGAAGTTGTAAACATGGGGCTAAGGTTGCAGGCAGGGGAGATACGTTATCTTGGGGGCAGAGGGCCGGGGACATGCAGTCCGGAGGGGTGAGGGGTGCCCGGGCGGTGCCCCTGGGAGCCCCCACAGGGTGGGCATCCTTCCCCAGTGATGAGGGGTTTTGGCGGGGGGTGGTGAGGTGCAAAAGTCCTGCCCTGGGGGTCGGGGATCAGTTGGGTTCCTCCACCGCTGGGGGGACTGTGGGTGACACCCCAAACTGGAGACAGCACCCCAAACAGGGCACCGTGGAGCTCTGCCGCCCTGAGCAACCCAGCACCCCTAACCCCCCAAATATCCCAGGTGCCTCGTCGCGCCCCGCGCTACAGCGGTGTCCGCTGCCCCCCGCTGCCCCCCGGTACTCACCAAAGTCTGCTCATACTGCAGCGCCCGCTGCGCCTCTCTCTCTGAGGCCATGGTGCCGCCGCTGCTGCCCCTCCGCTCCGCGCCGTCCCGGTGCCGGTGCCGCTGCCGGTGCCCGCGGCGGCGGCGGCTCCTCCCGAACGGTGCGGGGCGGGCCCGGGGCACTGCCCGGGGGAGGGATCGGCCGCGCTCCGCCTCCGCCGGCAGAGCCCGGCACCGGCGGCGCCCGGTACCGGCACCGGCAGCGCCCGGGCTGGGTCCGGGGATGCCCAGCCGGGAACTCAGTCCTGCGGCGGGGCCCCTTCCACCCGTGGGCTCTGTCCAGGATTGCACCCTTGGGTAGCCAGTGGGTGCAGGTGAGGGTAAAAGCTGGTGTGGGACGAACACGGGTCCAGCTTCCCCCTGGGACACGTTGCTCCCTCTTCCCAAGGGTACAAGGGGCTGGGCACTGGTCCCCTGTGGGTTCTCTCCAGTGGGATGTGAGAGGACCATGCTGGGGCTCCGCAAACAGGCATCACCAGGCTCATGTCCATGCCTGACTGGGGGACAGATTTGGGGGGCAGAGTGCCTGAGGTCTGTAGGGACTCACCACCCAAAGCAGACAGGGAGCTTGTCCTTACCGTGGTGCTGCTTAGCGTCCCTGGGCTGTCAGCCCCCAGGGAGGGAAGTGGGCTTCACTCTTCCTTGCCAAATCTGCTGGGCAGCAGCGGCTCGGTCCTCTCCAGAGGGGCACACGGGTAGAGCTTGGCAATCCTTGGGCAAGGCGCTCCGGCATGGCAGGCTGGCTGCCGGGACCTCCGTCTCACCGCTGCTGCAGGCTCAGGAGCAGCTGGGGTAGCTGGCAGGGCCAAGCTTACCCTCCTCTCTGGGACACCGTATGGCACCTTTGTGGCAAGAACTGGGTGCAGGGAAAGACAGAGCTGTGGCACCGCTGGACTGGTGCTGTGGGATCAGGAACAGGCTAGTTCTCACTGTCCAGGTGCCACCCTCTGGTTTGACGTCGGCACCCCCAAGGGTGGGTGACGATGGCTGGGCTGGGGGCTGGGATATGCCCTGTGCCAGCCTGGGAGGGTTCATTGCCGGACACAAACCGGTTTGAGGCAGGGATGTGACAAAATGGGCTGCCCGCTCATTGTATCCCCAGGCACGGAGCTCCCTCCTTGCTCGTCAGCTCCTGGCAATGCCCTGTGGCAGCAGGGACGCTCATCCGGAGGGGAAGCCGTGTGCCAGGACACATGCTCTGCCCACTGCTACCAGCCCAACTATGGGCCACCAGCACACTGCAAGGCCACCACGGGTGATGCCACCCTGCTGGCACAGACACTTGTGTGGCTGTGGATGTGCAGAGGGCAGGACACCCAGCTCAGCCCACAGGGCTCTAACCCAATCCACTTTCCCCCAGTACCATTTTTCTATTGCCCTACCTCTACTCCTGCCTGGCCCAGTGTCACCTCTGGTGCAGGCCCACTACAGCACTGTTGTTGTACCAGTATGCCTTGCCGCTTTCCCAGTACAGCCCAGTGTTACTTTCCCTACAGCCCTGGCACTGTTCCAGCATTGCCCAGTATAGCTTTTGTAACATCCCTGTCATTCTAGTGTATCCATCCCAACACAGCATGGGTGTTCCCAGAGATACCCCAGTCCTCCACATTGGGGATGGAAGGGCAGGTGGCAGCACTGGGTCTCTCCCACGGGCCTCATGAGGCCTTAGTCCAGAGCAGCTGTAGCGGAGTGACTGTTGCCCCAGAGCACTTGCAGTGGCCTGCTCTGCACTGCCATGGGTGTCTGTGCCCAGCCCCAGGCACCTGGCTGGTTGTGGTGCTGTAGGACAGTGCCTCCATGGATGGGCTGTACTCATTGTGCCATCATGGAGATGTGGGAGAGAGAGTCCAGCTGTCCCTGTGCCAGTGGGCACCACTGCCAAGGACTGTGCCCGCAGCCTCCACCATGAAGAGAGGCATGGCTGGCATCGTGGCTCCAGCTGTGGGCACTGGACACCGCTCTGGTCCTCTCCAGCGCCACCCCACAGCCCATGAGGTGTGGCCCCAGCCTGGCATTGACTCCCATGTCCTGTACCCCACAAAATACACACCCTCAACCCCAGCAATTCCAGGGCCTGCAAACCCCACTGGAGCTCAGCATGGGCCCGCTGCTGCTAGGAAGAGACAGGAGCCAGGTAGGCAATATCTCTCGTTTTAATAAATACATCTTGACCCCTGTCCACAGACACCATAAATTACATGAGAAGCCCAGCCGAGCCAGGGTGGGTGCAGCAAACAGGGGCCAGAGGGATTTTACACTATGTACAACGTGGGCGCAAGGCCCGCTGGCCAGTGGGGCTTGGAGGGGGAGGGCAGCAGGTGCCCCAACTTCTCTGAGCCCAGCCTATGCCCACTGGCATGAGCAGGTAGGGCAGTCCTGGCATCACAGTCATGCTGAGATGGGGTGCCCAGTCTGGGGGCCTGGCCGTGTGCACCCCGCTGTGCTCCTCTGTGCCCCCCACGCTGGGCGGGCAGGGGCAATAGGCAGCGGGGACTCGCCCCTGCCACCCAGCCTCACTGTGTGCTTGCCCTGCTCCAGGCAGCAGTCACTGCTCAGTGGCTCCATGCCTCCACCTTGTCATCGAGGACCTTCTCCTGAGCATCCGAGGGGGTGTCCAGGGCTGTGGGGAGGAAATGGGCTGAGGAACGGGCACAGGATGTTCCATGAGGGCATGTGGGGTCGTTGTGCCAGCCCTAGCTCAGCACCAAGGGTCCTGGGAGGTACAGGGGAGCAGACTGTGGAGCGGCACCTACGTGTGAGCAGCAGCACTCACCACGGCACTTGGTACAGCAGGGGTTGTCCCTTGTGGCAGGGCTGGCGCAGGCAGATGGGGGACACTCCTGGCGCTGGCAGTGTGTCTCCCCTGACTGAAGGACATAAAAAGGGGCTGAGCACCACAGCTGGGGGGCAGCAGCTCCTCAGGGTGCAGTGGGTGCCTGGAGTGCTGCCCTTCCACCCGTCCTCAAAGCCCTGGGGACTGGCACAATGGCACCTTCCCCTATTGCTGCCCCAGATGGGCACACTCACCACACACCAGCACAGGATACACTTCATTTCCCCAAAAGGGGGCACGGAGGGATGCCAGCTCTCGTTGTTGAGGTACCAGCGGCGCCCAAAGCGGCACGCCCGTGGCCCATCTGCCTGCATGGAGTCAGCCAGCTCGGGAACACTCTTCTCTGGGGCTGCAGGAGAGGGCAGGGGGAGGCTGCCTACCTGTGGCAGGGCACCCCGTGGCATTGCCAGTGGGGGCATGGAGGGGCTATGAAGGGGGAATGGAAGGTACAGGAGGGGTGCAGGTACCTGGGCACTGCTTGCAGCAGTCGGAAGGGTTGACCCGCACAGGGTTGGCACAGGTGAGCCGCGGGCACTGCACCTTTTCACAGTGCACTTCACCCGTGGTGCCCTGCAGGGAGTGCATGGGGTTCATGGGAGGCACGGGGCGGCTGGCAGCCCACTCCATGGTTTGAGTCCCTGCCCAGTAACTGAGAGCACCCGTAGGTGCCAGACCAGTTTGGGGGGCAAGTCTAGAACCTGCACTCACCTTGCAGGTACAAATGGCACATTTGATAAGGCCAAAGGGGGGCACAACAGGGTGCCAGCGAGTGCCAGAGCCTCGCCATGTTTTGTCCCCATCAAAGTAGCAGCCTGGGAGAGAAAGAGAGAGGAAGAAGAGGAAGGCACAGCCCTCGTGAGGGTGTTGGGGAGGCTGAGAGGAGCAGAGCTGCCTTCTCAGCCTGTGCCCACTAAGACTCACCCTCACTACTGTCCCGTGCTCGTTCCAGCTTCAGCTCTTCCTGCTCTCTCTTCTTCTCTACAAGGAAGAGGAAGGCCATGAGGGGGTGCACACAGTGCCAGCAGTAAAGTCTCAGAGAGAGACCTTGTTCTCAGAGGAAATCCCTCAGCACGGAAACCCCTCTATGCCCCAGGTACCTTCACAGATGGGGCAGCACAGCTCTTCAGGGTGTACCTGGTGGGTACAGTTGAGGGGCTGGCACAAGATGGGGTCGCAGATCACTGTGCGTTTCTGGGGACAGCAGGGATGGGGTTCATTACAGGGGCATTACTGATGGGCGCTGCCCCCAAAACACATCCCCCTGGCTTGTACCTGGCAGCTGCAGATGGAGCACTTTTTGTCATAGTCGGGTGCCCAGCGGGTGCCGTGTGCCCGGTGCTGACCCTCAAAGAAGCAGGAATTGGGGTCCTTCTTCACCTGCTCCAGGTCCCTGGTCTTAGCACCCTCCGAGAGCTGGGCCTCACCCAGGGCCTCCTCTGGGGTCAGGCGGGTCCCTCCTGCATGGCACTGATTGGGGATGTGCACCTGGAAGGGGACAGGAGGTTACTTTGTTACCCTCCATGGTCAAGGCTGGTGAAGGAAGCACCCACAACCACAGAACACATCGTGCTGTAATGCTGGAACCATGCAACATCATTTCCCTCATCCTGTGCCCTTCCACCCTGCTCCAGGCAGTGCCACCCAGCTGGGGACCCTAGGCAGCAGTGGGGATGGGAAGGGATGCCCTGCCCTGATAAGGACCTACCCGTCCCCGCATCTCCCCATGGGGGTGTGCTTTGGTGCTGACTTGCAGGAAAGCGGTGCCCTGGGCCAGGTGTTGCAGCAGATCGGCATCCAGGTCCTTCACCACTCCCTGAGCCTGTCAGGGCAAGAGGAGGTAAAGACGGTGAGATCTGGCCCAGGCCCTGCCATGGGGTGCCCCGACCAGGTGCCCCCCTCACCTCAGTGCTGTAGAAACCCTTGAGCAGGCGCTTGTGCTGGTGGGGGCGGGCACCCATCTCGCCCAGCTCGGCCACCCCGTGGAGGTGGGCACTGACAGTGCCGTCACTTGGGCGTCCCAGCCCTGCCACTGAGATCTCATAGTGCAGGTGGCAATGCTCATCCAGCGAGAGCCAGGCATGCCCCCCAGCGCCACTGCTCACTGGGGGGGATACCAGCTGCCCTGCCAACGCCACGGGCATCTCTGTGCACAGATAGACAGGGGCCATGAGGGTGGGGGTGGTGTGTGAGAGGGCTGCCCCACTGCCCCCTGTTACCACCCCATGTGTCCCTGGATACCTGTGTAGCGGGCGAGCAGCCCACTGTAGGGCAAGGAGATGACTTGGCCCCGCAGCTCACCCTCCGCCCAGTCCTTGGTGGCCACGTTGAGGAAGAGCTCGTTTTGCAGAAGCATATGGGCATCACGGGCACTTGGGCTCTGCCAGGCACCCCAGGCCTGCCACCAGTGGGAGACAACACGGGTTGGGATGGCCACTCACCCAAAGCTTCTGTGCCACCCCCCCACTGTCACTCAGTGCTCACCAGCCCATCCTTGTAGCTGGGTGTCATGTCAAACAGGATGTTCCTCTTGCTCTTCCGTCGGGGTTTGGTCTCCAGCGTGATGCCCACCACCTCACTGGCAGTGCCCACCACCCGCACCTGAAGGCAGGGTGTCAAGGGGCAGTGCCAGGGTGGTAGGTGCC